CAGCTCGCGGGCACCGCGGCCGGGGCCGCCGGCACCGTCCAGTTCGTGTCAGAGGAGACGGTGCCCGCCACGCAGGCGCCGGCCGCCACCATCGCCTCGGAGACGCAGACCATCACAGGTACGGCGCGTTGGGTGCCATGAGCGCGCCAGGGCTCAGCCTGGCCCCGCGCTCACGTCGTCCCCACCGCTGCGAGCGGAAAACAACGTTTTCTGCATTAGTCAGCGCATAGGTGCATGCAAAGAGATAAAGAAGCCATGTGCAAGCCCCTTGGTGTGACAGCCATTGCTTGGTTTGCTAATGGAGCCATGAGCTCACTTGGGCTTGCTTCGATCTAGTGTGTTGTCTAACCGACTTGCAAAGACTAATTAAAGTTGTCAATACTTATGCAAAGTAATCAAATTACTATGTGTTTTATTTTTGCTAGAAGTGCTCTTGATGAGAAACAGGCTTGGAATTGCTGTCAGGCGCTGGTCCAGGCCTTTTTATGTGAGAATACTGCGTGCACTAGCGTTGCTTCCACGACTAATTGGCAGGAAAAAATATAACTCAAAATTTCTGCCTATGCAAAGGCTCAAATGATCCTGCAAACATTTAAGTCTAGCTAGAATTTTATTCTATGCATGAAACTTTTGCTCTTTTATATATAATGTATTTTGTTTTGGTCTGGGACCTTACTAAAACTCCATTTTTTTAAGTTGGATGGACAGGATATGGAAGAGCATCTGATCGAGTAGTGAAGCAAGCTGAATTCAGGGCCTAGTTCCAGGATTTTTTGTATTATTATCCCTCGGGTCAGTGTGGGCTTGGGGTGAGTCACTTTTCTGCTTATTTACTCATTTTCAAGATGAGGGCAGTTGCACCATTCTCTCCTTTGTGGGGTACAGCATGGTTTTAAAAAAACAGTAGCCTACAAAGTTTTCCTGTTGTTTTTGTGTGTAACAATTAAAAACGGTGTAGTTAAAAGGAGCTAAACCTTTAAACCATCTTTTTGATTTTTGAATGTTTTCCTTATAAACAGTTTGGTTTTTTTTTCTCCTCCTCTGGACTCTAGTACAGCCAGTGCTGAAAAACAGGAGTGATTTTATTAATGTAAGACCTGGGCAGGCATCAGAAGCAGCTGATCCGTTAGTCGTGCAGCCAGATAGGATGTAAAGAGGGAGCCAAGTTAGGGTCGTTCAAAGCTCAGCGTGGCTCATGGGGTCTTGACAAACATTCTCATCTGATAGCAAGATAGCCAGGGGAAGAACAGCTCTCTCCCTGCCCCCCTTATGACTAGGAAGCCAGGAATAGGAATGTTTCTGGAAACATGTTATAGAGAAGTAATTAATGAAATTGGAAAATAACCAAGTTTTACTTCCTGGAGAAGTGCAAGCTGTCAAACTGAGCTGTTTGTGTGTGTTTAGTTTCTGCCCCAGAGTTTGTTTTTGAGCATGGCTACCAGACGTACGTGCCTAGCGAGAGCAGCGAGCCCCCCGCCGCGGCCGTCGTCTCCACGCCACCAAAGGCACGCTCAAGAAAATCCACCTCCTCCCTGACGCAGAAGAAACTGAACTGCTGCTATCCAGGTAAGGTGACGACTGTGTCTTCGTTTTTAAAATCCATAGGTTTGGTATGCTTACAGTGTAGAGTAAGGCTGTCTGTCTAATGCACTTAAGATGTACAGAATCTGGAAAGCAACCTCAACCAAGAGTGTGATCTGCTAATGCTGAGGTCAGTAGCACTTTTGCTGTTGTCCTCACCAGTTCTTGGACAAGTTCTTGGTCCTCTTCTGTGATATATTCTGGTGATGCTCTGGCCTCTGCCCTAAGAGGAGAACTAAGGGCAGAACTTTGCTAACCTTTTGGTAACTGCTCTCATTGTATGAGAAAAACAGTGTGTGTGCATTTTGCTTGGCATGCTTTGTTAAGCTAGAATATTTTTCAGGATGTTTTGAACTGAAATATTTTCAGAGATTAATGTGTAAAAGAACCATACAGTATACAGAAAACCTCTGAAGGGACAGCCACATAGATGAGTAGTCCTGTTAATTGGAGCAGAAGTTTCAGTGCTTCTTTTAATGGCCTCCGTTTGAGAGACCCCTTTCAAATGTGCAGCACTCAGCGCTGCACTTGTAGAGTGCAGAAATCACAGACAGGATTCCTGAAGGCTGAGCCATTAGCTGCGTTCCCAATAGCACTAACCTGAGATTATATGTGGAATTAATGAGTTCCACCTGTGTCCCCCATGTACCATAAAGAGCGTCTCAAGTCCTAGGCAAGATTCCAGAGAATTGTTTTAAAGCTCACTCAAAGAATTACAGAAAAAGGCAATGTGGAGAGTGAATTCTCCCCTAGGGAAGCACTAGAAAGCTAAGGTTCATAAGTAATCCAGTTACTATTTTAAGGAGATGGGAGGAGACAAGATGGGGACTTCATTTTCTAGCAACACTGAATTTTAAAGAAAATGTATTCATGAAGAAAGGAAAAGACCAGAATAGCATAGTACATTTTTATGATTATGATCTTGTTAGTTTTTCCTTGAATTTAGTATTGTCTTTTTCCTTTCCTTTCCCTTCCCTTCCCTGCCCTGCCCCATTCTCAGGTTGCCAGTTCAAGACTTCCTATGGTATGAAGGATATGGAACGTCATCTGCGAACACATACAGGTTAATGTAGTTGCTGTATTTTTATTTTATTTTTTTCATCCTTTTCTGCTTTTTGCTAAAAAGTATTTTCCTACATTACATTACAATTACACTGAATTATATGTCATAGATAAATTAGAGAAAATACACACATCTATCTGTACATTTTGGTGTTGTAGTTCTCAGTGTTTCAGAATTGCCCGTTTTGGTAAGCCAGGTTTCTGGCCCATACTGTTCACAGGTGGGAAACTAAAAAGATGAACATTGCTTAAAATCACAACTAAGTTTCTGAGATGCCAGCCATGTGCTTATCTGCATGTGTCCATATGGTAGTGCACAATGTCTCCTTAATAATTTGCTAATTTGCCCTTAATTTATTACAGAGATTTCAAAAGTTCTCTCCTTACAAATTTGAAAATGGCTCTTTGGAGAAATTTCCAAAGGTCTTCTAAATTGTTTGTTGTACTTGCATATGCACCCTTTTAGAGCTCTTAAGAAAGCTTAGCTAGCTAGCAGACTGGCATCTCAAATCCTGCATCCAGTTCATGCCTTTTATAAAAGCTTTTTCAATAACTAGCACAATTGCTGTTTTAGCATTCTGTGTACTGGGTGCTATTTTTTTTTTCTGCGAACGTTTTTATGATTCAAAAATCTTGACGTGTTGCTGCTCTCCCGTTCATCTCAGGAGACAAGCCCCATAAATGTGAGGTTTGTAACAAGTGCTTCAGCCGTAAAGACAAGCTGAAGATGCACATGCGTTCGCACACCGGCGTGAAGCCCTACAAGTGCAAGCACTGCGACTACGCGGCCGCCGACAGCAGCAGCCTCAACAAGCACCAGCGCATCCACTCCAACGAGCGGCCCTTCAAGTGCCAGATCTGCCCTTACGCGAGCCGCAACTCCAGCCAGCTCACCGTGCACCTCCGATCCCACACAGGTACGGCTGCAGCAGCATTCCAATCTCTAAACATCTGAAAATCACTGGCAAGGGTTTTAGAAGCTCTACAGATGGCCACATGCCACGAAGTGCTTATTTGATCTTGCAGAAGCTGCATACCTAGATGTTTTTCTACATCTCATGGGCACAGAATTCATTAGGGCAACGTAGCTCTGCAAAAAATGATTAGAAGAATATGTACAATGAGAAGACATATCTGACTCTTGGTAGTTGTTATCCTTTGCTATTTTTTTTCTTCTTTTTTTGAAACTGTCTACGAGACATTCTTAAATCAACAGAACTTGAGGTATGCTCTTGTTGTTAGCATTTGAGCCCCTCTCTGTGTCTTTCAAATCTGGTCCACAGTATTGGAAACACTGAAATTATTTTATAATTGACTGGTTAAATCTGCTCAGAATTCACCTGCATTATTTGATTTCTCTTGCACCAGAAATTAATTAGCAATTCAAGTGTAGTGGGTTTTGTTTTGGTTTTAGTAGCATTAAATAGTGCAGCAATCAGATTTTTAGATAGCTTCTTTTGGCAGATGAGTCTGTTGTATCATTCAATTAGGCTAAAAGTCTTTAGTTTTGTTGTCTCTTCTACATAATTTCTGTAAAAAGACCTTTTCATGGTCATTCATTTGCTGGGGTGAAGTGCAATGATTTAGAATTTAATCATTTCATTCTTATTATATTACAAAGCTGCTAAGCACACAACCAATTTTAAGAGAAAATCAAGATGGGTAACTGCAATGCATTCCTTTATTGGAATGAAACTAGTTCTTTTCTAGAAGGTGAATGTAATTTACATAGCTCAGTATCACATCATTTACATACCCTTACTTGTTGAACTAAGATCAGTTTTCTGTTGAGAAGAATTACTGGGTAAGAATTCTGAGATCAGACCTCCCCTCCTCTTCCATTTTTTTAAGTTTCGTTGTCAGTGACAGACCACCCTTTAAATAACAAAACAAACACTTTCCTTTATTCAGTAAAATTACTAATTTTATCTTTCATGTATTACAATATCCTGAATATGTAAATTAAGCCATTGAAATATGAACTATGCTTTCATCAGCAAAGTAGATAAAAATTCAGTAGCCGAGTATGCAGCTGAGACTGTAAAATAAACCAGATGAGCAAACACTGTATCTTCATTAATAAAGTCTGTTTCATATACATAATACACCATGTATCTCAATTATTAAACAGATACATGGATTAGCACAGTAGGCCACAACTTGATTTGAAAAATATGCAGCTAATTCTATGGCATCTGCAGCTAGATAAGAAAATTATGCAAAATTATACAGCTATCACAGGCTCTATAAAATATTAACTTATAAAATAAATTAGCCATTTGCAGTTTGATTATTAAAGAAAAAAAAACTGCTGAACTAAGTACAGTCGCTTTTCTCTTCCCAATACCTTTAAATCCCATCTTAGCACCCAATGTCACAGTTGTATTTTTTTTCAAAATATTATGTAAACACATTACAATATGGTCATTTAGAGAACTGCCTATTTAGTTTAAAAAGAAAAAAAATGAATGGTGTTATTCAGGAGGTTTGCTTTGGCTTTTCTGAAGCCTTCAGAAAGGTGTCACTGGGCTTCACCCTGGAATTTGTTCAAGGCCTGTAGACTAAACAAATTTACAGCTTCATTTGATCATACATGTTGTGACACAAGCCTGCAAATTAAAAAAAAAAAAAAGAAAAAAAGAAAACAGTGACTTAGAACCAGATAGTTCAAGTGGTTACTCGTGTAGGCTGTTTGATGCAAGTAGTTTGCTAATGATCTTACAGAAAACTATGTTCATTTTTCACACTTCAGCAGTTAAGAATTTGACCTACGTTTCAACTTTGTTGCTAGGTTTTGGATCAGGAATGTTCTTATAAAAAATATACACCTATGAATATTTTATATTCCTGTTTGCATTAATGCAAACTGATTAGAGTTTCTAAAAGTGGTCTGTTGAAGATTATTAGATATGATGCATGATGCAAATATCTCTTTCTCAGGTGCTGTAATGCCAGAAGAAACAAAAGCTTAATGTTACTTCTGTCTGTAAGCATATTTCCCTTAAGTCACATATTTACCTACTTGTTTCCTTATTATCCTATTTCTCTTTTCCAGTTCCCGTTGTGTATCTGTGATTCCTGTTCTGTTTTATAATGGTAATAGTGCTGCGCTTCTACAATGACCCGCATAGAATCTTGTCCAAATACCCAATGTTTTGGACAAAAGGTTTCACTCCCTGCCTTGTGCCAGCAAAAGTCTTTGAGCTGTTGCACATGAGCCAGGGCAAGGATTTAACCAGGCCCCAAAGTAATCCGTTTTTCTTTTCAGCTAATTTAACTTTCCATGTGAACATATCTTGGTATAAGAGAGGCAGTAAGGAATATATGAGACAGTGGGGAGGCTGGTACTAGTTAAACATTTGTTTCTGCAGTAGCCTAACATTTAGCCTGGACATAAACTTTATCTGCAAGCCACACAGTAAATCATGTAAGTGTGTATTTATGTTGATTTCCCGGACTTCATAAAAATCTAGCAGATGTTCAACTTCTATAATGTTTATTTGAATTGATTTTAAAGGCTGACTAGACATACTGTTGTCAAAGCAATATAAATGGAGAAACTTCTGTCACTTCTTTTGAAGCACTTGGAATAGGTCTACAAACAAAAGGAATGGCAAATGGAGACTATCTGAGATGCTAATATGAAGGCACAACAGGCATGGGTAGGCAAAGGCATGTGCTCTTGGAAAGACTGCACACAAGTGTTCAAACCAGGTGGCATATACCATCCCCTTGCAGAGTTCTCTACATCTTGAGAAGATACTGGGAGCTTACAAGTATCTAAAACAAGTCAGCTGAGTGCTGTAGCATTTGATCCCTCCAAGAGAGAGAGATGTTGGTTTCTCTTCTGTAATATGAAATCTGTTTTCTGTTGACAGGAGATGCTCCTTTCCAGTGTCAGATGTGTCCTGCTAAGTTTAAAATCAACTCAGACCTGAAGAGGCACATGCGTGTGCATTCTGGTGAGAAGCCGTACAAATGTGAGTTCTGTGAGGTCCGGTGCGCCATGAAAGGAAACTTGAAATCACACATTCGCATTAAGCACAGCATGGAAAATACTCTGAAGTGCCCAGAATGTGAGTTTCAGTGTGGAAACAAAACGAGCCTTCGGCACCACATAAGGACTCATCAGCCTGAGCAGCCAGTGAAGTGCTCAGAGTGCAACTACTCTTGCTCCAACAAGGCAGCTTTGAAGGTACATGAGAGAATCCATTGCAAGGATCGTCCTTTCAAATGTGAATTCTGCAGCTTCGATACCAAGCAGAGGAGCAACCTGACAACTCACGTGAGGAAAGCTCACGGAGACAAAGTCAAAACCAAGAAGCAAACTGTGGAGAAGAAAGAAGGAGACAGACCAAAACAGGGTGGCTCCAGGCAAGTTGCTAAGTTGGATGCCAAGAAAGCATTTAAGTGTGACCTGTGTGAGGCTTCCTTTGTCCGAGAAGATTCCCTTAGGAGTCATAAGAAGCAGCACAGTATGTACAACGGGACGAAAAATAATGAACTAGCTGTTCTGCAGCTTCAGATGGATCCCAGTCGACAGAGTAGTGCCCCAATTACCGTCAGTCACATTCAGGTCCCACTTCAGGCTGCTCAGGTTTCTCCATACAGTGAGGGAAGGGTCAAGATCATTGTGGGTCACCAGGTCCCTCAGGCCAGCAGCATCGTTCAGGCCGCGTCGGTGAACGTCGTGCCCCCCGCCTTGGTGAGCCAGAACCAGGAGGAGCTGTCGGCCGCCAGCCGCCTGCAGCTGCTGGGCCAGGTGAGTTTGCTGGCGCCTCCTCCTGCCATGGCCCCGAGCGAGGCAGGGGCCGTGGCGCAGCCCGCGGTTCTCCTCAGCGCTCACGACCAAAGCGATGCGAGTGCTTTGCACCAAACCCTCCTTCCTGCCGCTCCTGGCAGCGCTCACGAGGCGTCGGCAAACCAAGCCTTCATCACCAGCTCTGCAATCAGCTGCTCCGACTTAGAAGGCCTCAATGCTTTAATCCAAGAAGGAGCCACAGAGGTGACCGTGGTTAGTGACGGAGGGCAGAGCATCACTGTGTCTACGGCAGCTCCCCCTCCTCCTATCTTTTCCTCATCCTCTCACACAGAAGCCCCCAAGCAGACCTATTCCATCATCCAGAGTGGAGCCCACACAGCGTTGCTGTGTCCAGCAGACTCCATACCAGATTAACCACAGAGGACCATTGCTAAACAACATTCAGTCTCTGCAGTAATGCTGAAGTCAGTAGAACTGCATAGGACATAAGTGAATGCAGCATTTGTCCTATAAAGCCAAATACCTTCCACATACACGTTTTGCCTGTCTATACATGGAAACATACAGCTTGTATGTGGGAAAAGAGGGTGTGTATATTTACCTGCCTCTATTAAAATCAGAGGCTGTGTTCTTTGCAAAATCTGAGTATCAAAAGCTGAGTATCCACTTAAAATTTCACCCAGCAGTAAACTTTCCAAAATGTGATTATTGTACTTGATAAATTAAGAAAACATCACCTTACATCACATAATCATCACAGCAGAAATCTCTTTTTTCTTACACATGCAAAAAGATAATAGTCTAAGCCACTCTGAAGTTTATTTTTAAGTAATGCTAGTAATGTTTTGATGATTTGCTGTGGATGCATAAGCTGGACCTGGCTGATAGTGAACTTTTTAGAAACACCTAGTAGCCAGGTCTAATGCAGCCAAAGTAAAGGTTATGGGACCTATTCTGTAGTGTCAGTAGAAGTTGGTAGCACCTGACAATTAATGTGGAAATACAGAAGCAGATCAGGTAATCATTTTATTTTATTTTAGAAGACAAAATTTGTCCCTCCATCACTAACAACTACTTGCATTTGTTAGCAAAAACAAATTGCAAATCATGTATATGGCGCCGTGATCTGTCAATCACCTTTGTTTTAGAGAACAGAATGGCTACAAATATATTTTTTAAAAATACAGTACTTTTTTAGTGTGTTTGTTATTTTGATGTTGTCTTCATACTTCCTTGTGGTTGCATGGGTGGAGGAAGTGCGTTGTGCTTTTGCCTCTGCTCTTTTCCAAATTAGAAGGGGAAAAAGACAAGCTTGAACTTGTTCAAAAAAAAAAAAAAAGAAAAATAGTAGATTCTTTTTCAAGGATCAAAACTAGCATAATTTCAGATTAGATCCCAGTAAGACAGTAGCTCACTATTAAATGACGTACATTTGTATAAAAGGGTAATATGTGAATTTAGGGATGTATCTTGAACTATACAATATTATAGTTCTGGCAGCTGAGCATTTGTGTAATGGTAACTAGTATCTTTACTAAGAGATTACCTAGTTAAAGAACAGGCTCCTAAATTGGGAGAGCGGCGACTCTATATTGCAGCAGCCTGGATCTGCTGAAGTGAGAGCTCATTGCAGAGCCAGGCAGCATCGCAGGGACACGTGAAGGCTGAAGAGAGGCCGTTATCAAAACCAAACGGGGGGTTTTAGTCAGGTTAATTTCAGTTTTTGCTGGTGGGAGGCAGTGGATGTTTGCTTTCTGTTCTAGGAACACGTTTGCAACCTTCTGAAGTTCATGTCATTAGGGCTCCTTTCTGAACAGGCCCTCGTGTTTGCATCTCGGTGTGTGCGGTCTGCATGCTGCATGAGTTGGGTTGTCCCCCACCATGTGTTCCCTCGGTACGGCACAATTCCTACTTGTGGGGTAAAGCTTCATGCTCTACAAAGACAGAAAAGTGCAATCCAGCTCACGAGTGCAATCATACAAGTTGTCAAGTTGTTCCTGAGAACGCTGGTCAAAAGAAAGGTTGTTTAAACTTGAATTCTCCAGTGTCACTCTCTTCATAGGAAAATGGTGTTTTGGGAAGCCTGAGTCTTCTGCCTCCCTAATCCTTGATTCTAAATTAATGCTCTTTCAAAACAAAAACACCCTTCAAAATAATCCTCTTATTTTTGAATTCTTATCTTTGATTTAAGCTGCTTGGTAGTGTATGTTTCTGGTTGTGGATATCAGAAAAGATGGTACTTCAATTAGAAGGAGAAACCTCATGAATGGTTAGTTAAAAAAGCATCACTAAGGTGTTATTTCCAAGCCTTGTGCTGTATTGAACTGTGAAGTAAAAATCTGAAGTTTCTGGCAGCTGTATTTCAGGGATTGTTATCCCTTACGCTTGTTCTTGGACTACTTTGGTGATACAGGTTACCACCTGCTAACTTACCTTTTCTCTATGGATAGCTGATTTATGGAGCTGACAAGGTCCAGTCCCAAATCACTGAGCACACCTATTTTTCCAGAAATCAGAATTGCAGAGCAGCAGGGCTTTACTGCGGACGCATTTGGTGAGAACCATGGATGGAAAGCCTAGGAGAAGCCACGTGCTGCCCTGCGGCTCAGGTCCCAGCTGAGCCTGGTGGCTCCTCTCAGCGCCGTCCAAGCTGCTTGGAAAGCACCAGCGAGAAGAAGGGATCCCAGGCAAGTGCTTGATCTTCCTGTATGGCATCAGCCCTATGTGACCACCGCATGGACCACACCAACCTTTCTGTGTTGGCGCTGGATCTAGGTGCGTGTTATGGTAGCAGCTCTCTTTGCCCAAATGTGTGTGTGTGTGCGTGCTCCGAACTGTCCAGCGGAGAGCAGCACAGCCCCAAGGCACTGCAAACACCAGCAAAGGGGGACACTTGCAGCCATGTGGCAGTGACAGGTTTGTGCTGCTCGTTTTTGCTGTGGCCGGGGAGCAGAAGCGGCAGAGCTCGCGGATCCTCCATAGATGGTGCTGCAGATCCAGGCAAACCTCGGCGCAACCCTTTCTGCTTGCTCATACACCTTTCCTGTTAAAAAGATTGCACAGTTTCCTGCTTTTGACTTTCCCAAGTACAAATGGTAAAAAAATATTTCAAAAAGCACTATTGTAGGAAGTTCTGGAAGGTCTAACTGCAAACAGTCTGTTAAGTTGCCATGAAACAGACTTACAGCCACAGATTAACCTCACGATTTAATATAAGTATTGATAATTTTCTAACAACTATTTTTAAGCTGTGCATAGCGTGCAGCTGCAGGGTTTGGTGGGCTCTAAGACTGATACAAAATGAGAGGTTTTTCCCAAAGCCAGAGGTCTGAATTGCAATTATCTGTGTTTGCCCTTGGCCAATAGACGCTCACCCGGGGGATGCACCAGCACGTCCAGGAATCTCACGTTCAATCTAATGTCACTCTTAACGTTACACTCTTAACGTATCTGCATTTCAGTTTTACAAAAAGAGCTGTTTACCTTCTAAAATAGGAAACCAGTAGATTTGTCATATTGTAAAGACTAACCTTCATTCTGGTCCCCTGGTGTAGCTCTAAGATAAACAGGAAAGATAACAAAATGGTGTGAATGAATAGACAAAGCTCAGTGCTGCTTCTTCAACATTGTTTAGCTGATTGCATTATGTTTAAATAAACAATCCCCAGAGACTTCTTTCCTCCACCCTTCAAAAAAAAAAAAAAATAGCTGATAACCAAGCCTGAAATGGGGGCAATTTTTTTTCTATTCCAATATTCTTCCTGTATTTTTATGCTCAAAAGCAGCAGTCTCAGTGTTTTGGAGCTAGCAGAAGCAGATTGTTTTAATCTCTGATATTCATTTAATTCATTCTTCATGTTATCAACAGAACCATCCCTTGAGAGGATGTGGTAATTCCTAACAGTGTCTGGTGCAGTTCACTTGCTTTCACTCGCGTGGCCTCCTCAAGTCCTACCCCAGCCACAGAGATCTGTAGCAATTTGCCTCTTTCCTGAAGAAAATAAGATTTGGATGGATTTTGTTCCACTTGCCCCAGGATCTCCAAGCCCGCTGTGGTTAAGTTTGGAGACCTACTTCTCCAGGCAACCCAGGCAGTCCAACCCCGCTGTCTGTATTCCCAAACTTTTGGGGATATTTTTGTTACTACAGACAAGGCTTTTTAAAAACAGCTCCAAGTCCTGCATGGGCCAAGGCTCGTTGTCTGCAGGGCCTGCTGAAACGTGCTTTCCCCTCTGCTTTTGTGAGGTAGAAGTATGCAGCAGAACGAGTACAAAGTCCAGAGGAACATTTGCCTCCACCACCTTTGGATGTGGTGCAAGGGGACGGTGACGGCATGAGCTCGTGCACGGCGTTCGCAGATGGAGCCAGAAACCAGCAGTGCTCTGAGCTAGGGCCTCCCTCAGCCTCCTTGGGAGCTTTAACGGGGGTTTGATAAACGCTTTAACTGTGATTTGCATCAAAACGGCAGATTCCTGCTCAAAACCAGCATTAATTTTTCTGGGGTGCGGAGGGGACATTCCTGGATGTGCCAGGGAACTCTCCTGCAGGATTGCAGTCCTCTGGGGTGCGGAGGGGACATTCCTGGACAGATGTGCCAGGGAGCTCTCCTGCAGGATTGCAGTCTTCGTGGGAGATGAGACCCAAAAACAAGCAGATTTGCCTTAAAGCTAGCTCTTTTGGGATCTGAGGGGGGAAACCAAAGTTGTATTGAAATCACATGATGTCTTATGTTCAAAAATTATAGTATTTTCCAATCATTTTGGCAGTGCTACTTGTGCTATTATGATACGACTGTACTGGAAAGTACCTTGATTTGAGGGGATTACAGTTATTCTTTAAGAATATTGGAAAGCGTGCAAATTTGTTTTTCTCTAGGTTGCAAACAACTGAGGAGATTTATTTATGTTTTCATCCAAAATATAGTCTGTCAGCCTTTCTGCGATGTGCTGTTCCAGGATCTGTAAAAATATTTGCTATGTACTCAATGGAAAGGTTTCTACCCTATAATTTCAGATGTATTTACTAGATATTCTAATGGCCTTTTACATTTCTAGTCGGAAAATCTTTAACCTTTTTATTTAAATTTTAAGAAGAGAAACCAATATTGTTAAGAGAAACTAATGTTCCCTGTCACTTACCCAGTGACCTTTCATAAGGTGATAAAGGTTTCTATAGTGACCTGAGGAAATAATGTCTCGAATATCATCATGAACTAAAAGTCTATAGTAGGAAAAGCTTTCTTTTCTCTTTCAGGTATCCAGTTCTGCCTTTGCCTTTATTCTAATCGCTAGACATGGAGAAGGACTCATAAAACATACAGTATTTGGTTACATGGCTATCTTTCATCTTTTAGAGACTTACCCAGGCACAATGTTGGAGGGAAGGAAAAAAGTACACGAGAAATGAAAGACTTTTTTTTCTCTTTTTTTCTTCTGCTATGCATTATTGGAGTAACAAATAATATGTATGTACGGGGCCATGTCGTCTGCTGTAACAATGCCATTTATTTGTTGACCTGTGATATCAGATACTTTATTCCATGACTTT